TGAGTTCACCAACTTTAAGTTTCAACAACCATTCTAAAGATATTCTAAGCATAGGTCCGCTTTCTGTCCCGCGTCGAGACACAAGTATCCCTGTATATCTTTGAATAACTAAACAGTTCCCTAACTAAGGTATAGTTGGTAAATAAGTAACTCTTGGTTCTCGTTACGTAATATAAATGAACAGCATGTTACACGCACACATTGTCGTCGTCCAACAAGTAATAATACCGCACACAGGCACAGAGTTGTATCAGATATTAGTGGCAAGGTCACACATGTGCCCAGACGTCGCCGCAAAATTATTAATATGTCGTGTCCCTTGACAAAAAGGTATTACGTGCGCTAAGATATTGATCTCATCTTACATGTTCTTATTAAACTTGTTTATCTTTGTAATCAAATTTCCTTGGTTACGTTATATGGAAAGATTTTCTCTATTAGTCCAATTTGACGAACGAAGTTATCAAAGTCTGAAGTGTTTTTACAGGATTAAATAATAGTTTTTTTTATCTTAGTAAGGATTAACTTATCATTAAGTAGCACTCAAAGTAACTTAATTAATATTTACTCAATTTTATACATTCACATATAGCGCCTAGCTTCACTGACAGACAGACAATTGGATGGACAATTTAATTTTTGACGTTTGAAAAGTGCCTAATTAGGTTGACTGGGAGACAATGCCCAAGGCATTATGTCCACCTGTACACACTTGTTGTATAAAGTTGAAATAAATAATAATAAATAAATAATTATGGATTAATTAAAGTAAATGCTTTGACTTAGACTTTGACTTTGATTCAAATTAAAAAAAAGATAAAAATTATAGTCGGTTCAAGTGTTAACAGACAAAAATAAAGTTATGAGTATTCTTTTCATCTCTTTATTCTCTGAAGGACTTTAGAGGAAAGTATTTTGAAACAAATATATATTTTATTTCAAAGTTACCGAAATCTACGCTCAGCTCGTGACAAATTCCCTAATTACTCATTTGAACTCGTAGACGCGCTACGCCGTAGCAGCGTAGCAGCGCTACGAGTGTCGTAGACCTCTCCGGCGCTGTATATTTTCTATTGGATATTAAACTTAATGATGATAATACATTAAGGTTTGAATTAGTACGTATAAAATATGAGTACATTCAACCCTACTAAATTAGTAACTTAGTAGTAATTAACTGTTTTAATGGCACATTCCTTTGTAATGCCTGCCTCGTTGGCCGAGTGGTCGCTAGTGCGACTGCCGGGCAAGGGGTCTCGGGTTCGATTCCCGGGTCGGGCAAAGTATTACTGGGATTTTTCAAAAATCTCAGTGGTAGCACGGAGTCTGGAATTGTGCCCGGTATATTATGGCAATAGGCTCACCCCCTATTACATGGGACTCATGACATAAATAGTGAAAAGTGGGTGTTACATTGTACAGTGGCATTAAGTGCCGTAATGTGCACCTCTGCCTACCCCTTCGGGGATAAAAAGGCGTGATGTTATGTATGATGTTATTCCTTTGTAATATAATTAACCAACCACACAAACTTAATAATAAGAAACATCTGTTAATGTAATTAGATACCAACATGAGTACCTATCTATTAAATCTTTCATACCTAAAACACAAAATAAAATGCACCCATTATCATACCTTCCGATCCTGTAAATTCCGCGTAGGAAAATGTTTTACTCCAAAAAGCACTAAATTAGAATACTCAAGTAGAACAAAAAGAAACCGTCAGATAAGTTTGCTGTAGTGCCCATTAACAGAAACTAGTCTGTTGACCTGGATGTGTGGCGATACCGAGTCACGTCACGTTGGATGTCTGGCTGTATAGGCTGCATCAATAATGTCGCAGGTACTGACTGATCGACTGGCTATTGTCACTGGGTATTGACTGATGCTTTGATCAAGAATAATAAATTGTATGTTATTCCTGAGTGTAGATAAATTTCGTGCAACGTTTTATCTCTACACAATGCTTACAATGCTTTATCTCTACTTATTTATTGTAAATGCATTTGAATGGAACCACCATAATATTGTTAGATAAATGTATGCAATATTAAAAAATAACTTCAAACTGCCGTGACACTGTTTTTGTATCATACAAAGCAGAAATGAACAGTTCGATTTTAGCATTGAATCCAAAATTTAGTGATGCCTAGAAACGAGCCTCTATTTCTGGCGACTAACTGTCAGAGCTCGTTCATTGACCTGATCGTGATTACCTTCAGAAGCTGTTCGCAGTCGCGTCACGTATCACACTCGCGATACTGTTACTTGTTACGGTATCCTCAATTATTGTCCACTGGCTGACAAATGGCAATAGTGACTGATGACAGTTCAGGGTCATAATATTGTTTTCTTAAGGAGTCATTCTTAATCCTACTCGGCATAAGGATATGTAATAGCACACGTATAAATTAAGAGGTGTTTATATCTTGTGATGGTCTTTATATATATGTGTCGAACACTAATCTAGTGCCTTGTTTACAGAATAACTGATTCAATCTGATTCTGAATCAAAATGTTTTGTCTGCTAACACTCTTCTACCAACAAAACATATTATCAAAATTCAAGAAAACTTCCTCATAAGCTTATTCTCGAGCCATTATGTATCCATCGGTGTAACTATCGCGGCGGCCGTGGGAGGGGAGCATCTGCTGTTTTTCTATCCCGAACACATTATTCAAATGAAGTATAAGTAATGTTACATGTAACACTTAGCTCTCATAAATATTATGTGGACGGAGTTACTGAAGTCGTAAGTTATTCCGAACTCGTATTAAGTACAAAAGAAAACAAAAGTCGACATAGAAAAGGAAGTAATAATTACGAGTTTCCTTGAAAATGTATCCAGTAATTTTGTGTAACATTTTATATGAAGAGAAATGTTTTGGTTACCTCAGATATTGTTAGAGATGTGAGTCGGTTCTCGAGTAGCTATCGAGTGCGCCAATAAAACGAGCCATTAAACCCGCAGCTACGAGTAGCTGTCATGTCGCTTATAATGTGAACTCCAGGGACTGATAAATCACAGTTCAAATATTTTCGTCGCATTTTTTCGGTTTCAAAGTCATCCGATAAAATGTATCAGTAATATGATTTAATATTAACAGGAAAGTTTTGATTACATTTATATTCGCTTTGTCGTACGAAAAAGTGCATACTTAAAGTTATCTTATCAATAAAAGTACTGAATTTGAATGATAATATGATTTTTATTTTATTCAAAGTATTTAGTAGGTACTGTAAGTTACTTTGAATACAACAGGAAGTGCTTTACTTGCCACATGATAGTATTTAGAACATAATAAACACATTTTCATTCGTACCTCTCTGTTGCTACATCATAAATCATGAAAATAAACTCTTATGACCCGGCACTGCTCCCTCGGCTGACCTCGGGACGTGTAATAGGGTCTGAATTCAGATCCCTTAATAAACACAGAACCTCTCATTGACGTAACTAGCAAAAACCTCCATCATTTGCATAGTGGATCCCTTCCCAGTATTTAGGAGCACAGGTCCACCGCACTTTTGTATTATATTAATTACCATGACGAGGATATTTTGAGAACAGAACGTCTTTCACGATCATTAATGGTTATCTCCTGTATAATAAAGAAAATTAATAGATATTTTGGTGACGGCTTATAGAATTACTAGTCAGTCTGAAAGTTCTATTCACATACATCGTATCAGACAAGGTTAAAGTAGAAGACAAAACAGTTGCCACCGGCTATCATGAGTTTTATGCATTAAGGAGCTCGCCCATTATCATACATTAACTTTCAATATTTTCGTATAAATTGCTACCAACCATTATTTACCTGAATGTCGAACCAAATACCTTGCTTATTACGAATGTTATTAATAAATTATTCATAAAAATCCTTCTCCATTTCACACGTAACTTGTAGTTACAAGTGAACCCGGAATACATAAAACAGAGGACGTATTAGCTAGTAATAGTGGCGTAACTAGCGTAAATAGTAACAGTTGAGTATGAGGACACGCGGCGTAATGGCGTGAGAGTGTAGCCGTTCTCAGTGTACTCACGTCTGATTACAATGTATGGCGGGAATGAGTGCACGGTATCTTATAGAACCATTATATTGACGAGGGTGGAGGCCACGAGGACAATAGACAACTAGGAAATGTCTCTCTATATTTAGAGTACTATTTATACTATGTTAATGTTTAATACACATATAACTTTGTCTTGCACTTCCGTAAGTGCACCTTCCACGCGCATACAAAGCATTCAAGCCACGAGTCACGACACTTAACGAGTTAAGTAGTGTTGCAATTAGTGTCAGAACATAACTTAAACCCACTCTACTACTCCATTAGGAGTTAAATGTATAATTTGCACATTAACAGGAAAAAGGCGCTAAAGCCTACATTAGTAAGACTTGTTTTCAAAAGAAAATGTTATTGTACGATGTATTAAACTTTATATTAAGTTTTAAATCAAGATTTAGTAAACACATCTCGTATTTCATGAAATGTTTGTCTAGAACGTGCAATGTTTAGAAAGTTAGTCCAACCCAGTGCTCTACACAAACAGGGGTTACAAATTACATACCATTAGCCGGCAGCAGTGTTCCCAGTCATTAATGACGACACATATATACGAGCTGCACTAGTTGTGATGCTGTGCGTCTGACACACTTCCCACCTGACATAACGGGATCACATGCATTACAGATTTATTCTTTGTTTACCTACGAGTACTCTATGTATACCAGCATAGATGTCACTACTTTTAATACATAACGAACAATGAAACAATATAATAATACAAGCTACCTCCACAATCAAATCGAAAACAATTAATATCAGCTGACAGCAAGTACTAAACATCAAAAGTAACCTCACATTTCACATACAATCGTCAGTCGAGTACTTCCTCCAATATAAACCCGACATCAAAATATAATTACGGGTGCACTCATAAAGACTTTAACCCTGCATCCGCCGGTCACATTTAATTACTACGTACCTATTTTAACGCGATTTTTTCGTGCCTTTCTTTCGCACAAACGGTGGTATCGGTATGCAGGAGAGGGATGGACACAGTGGATGGTAAGAGAGCGCGGTTGCCGAACACCCGCCGGCGGTGGCGGCGCGAGGCTGACTAAATCTGTGTCCCTCTCAAGCCAGGTCAGGTCAGGCGTAGAGCCGCGTCCAGAGGGCGAACATTTCCTGAATAAATTGTGTAAATATTTTAACATGGGCCCGCTGTTTTCAGCGGCAATTTGACAGGACGGGGTTGGTTCCTACGAATTTGTAGCTGTCGGTACGAATTTTATTGTGTCCGATTTATTTGGCCGCACGTGTAAACACGTAGGGATCAAACGCGTTCTAATTCCGTTTGATGTTTCAATTTACCCAATTATGTAAACGATCAGATTAGACTTTTAAAAGATTTCAGATTTAAAGGATATAACCATTTGGTTTGCAAGGATTTGTCGTCAAAAAATTTGTTGTTCCGGATCTAATCCATTTCTTTTTTTCTTAACATTGTGAAAATACTGATATGTATAAATTATCTCCATCATCATCATCATCATTGGTAAGAATATCCTTAGTCTTGAAACTATAGCTTTTATATGCAAAGCATGATTCGACAAACATTTGAGGAAAAAATATTTCATGTGCATTTATCAATTACTTAATACTAATGATATGTTAAATATTGGTCCGAATAACATGCACTAGCATACTCTAGTCTGATATTTATGTAATAACACTACAGTTATTTTTAACTGGTGGCTAGAGTAACTATAAATATAATTAGGTATGTAGCCGTAGAAAGGTATTATAAATCTTGATAAACACTCGACGTTTGTAAACTCCACATAATTCGCCAAGTCCGGGCTAAAGCAAACAATCGTAGGAACTCAATCAGCCGCCTCGCGTCCATGTGGATGTAGCTTTATTCAGCATCCCGCGCACACACCCTCACCAATCAACACGCACACACCCAACAAATCCTTCGGAAAATTTGATACATTTGTGAATGTGTGCATAGCGACCATCCGTGTACGTATAAACCCTTGCACAGTGTTGGTTTCCCTGAAAATGGCCGCCGTTAAAAGTGCGCATGCGTCTAAATACAATTTAACGTGGCCACTAGAATTTTTAGTTTCAAAGGAAATTCGACCTTATTTCACTGGTAAAATGGTATTGATTGAATTTTTGGGACGTAATTAGTAAGTTGGTAGTAAACACGGCGGGTTTTTGAAGTTCGGACTTGAGTAAGGTAAAGGACACTTCTTGACGTTGGTGGCGCATAGAGAATTAAAATGAGTGCTCGTACTCGTCGTACAGCTACAAACTTAAAGCGCGGTTAGCGATAGACGCGTACACGACCCGCTAGTTTAGATTCTCACCCCTCGACGCCCCGTAGCTCACCAGAAAATTACTTTTTAAAACTTCATCTTTACTTTTTTAATCAGATCTTAGCAGTTTAGACACAAGTTTAATCATAATACCAGATAGATTAGATTACATAACAAGGAGCTACTTTAACGAGAATATGCAGTTATTTTTGAGTGTAAAGAAAAGTTAATCTTAGTCAAGATAAGCAGTAGATTTTAAGTTTCAATGAGAGTAAAAAAAGAAAAAGACATGTATTGATTTATTTTATTATTTTAATAACTCAATGAGTACCAATTTTCTTCGCAATACTTTCATTACAGTGAAGATAACATAAATTACGTGGCAATATTACTTTTATCTCCTGCAATTTAATTGATGAAAGTCTCATAAAAACAAATACGAGTGGAAGTGGACCACATCAATGCGGACATCAAACGAATCGGCGCGGAGATTGTAAAATTTTACGTTTGATCCTCTTCAACGAGTTGAGAAGAAATCGTTTAACAGCCACTACCACGGGAACTGTAAATGACAGGCTGAGACTACTACAGACGAAACAATCGTAATGATTTGTACACAAGTACTAACTACTACTGTTTGCTTTGTAGCAAATAATGTAGTTTTGGTGAACCGTGAATTAAAATGAGTATTTCACTAAAACTTTAGCTCAAACAAGAAACAGCTTAAAATAAGTCGTAAAAACGGTTTAGAGGCTGTTTATATATAACCAAAACGACTTTGACTCCGGTTCGAAGAACTGTAAACTCGAATCCACATCACTTCAGGAGTCAGTGGCGCCACCGTCACCGTTCGTTTCTACTCCGTGTACAAAAATATTTCAAAAATAGTTATTGCATCAATTTCGATTAAATAATAGTGTTAACGTGTACATCAACAAGCAGTAAAGTAGTGTGATTGTGGACAGCAAACAGATTTCCATAAAAATCTAAATATTTCAAATAAACAAAGTGTCTTTGTGAAAAAATTTTAGAACCATAAAAACAAACATATAACTTCTAACAAGTGATCTTCCATGCCGACAATAGTGTTTTTGTAACAATGAATAGTGAAATAGTGCCTAAAGTATAATAAAATTGAAATAACAAAAGTGTTATAAATATAAAAACCAGTTATTCAATTTTCGAAAATTTCAAACTACCGCGTCCTAACGTACAAAAAAAATTGGCAACCATAATAACAACTACTATTTCGTCAATTACGTTAATGTTCGAATAGCTTAATCGCTTTGAACGCTCCTTGAAAGTAAGGAGTCTCGAGTTCTAACCTCGGTGGCACATAGAACTCTTTTTGTGGATGTTTGTACTAATTTATTCAAACATAATTTCAAAAAACTATAATCCTGTGGTATATAGATAAATACAAGCAATAAAATGAATTTTCTAGAAAACATTACTTTTCGACGCAACCGGAATAGGGCTTGCTCAGAAACAGCGCTTAATGACAGCGATATAATCTCTGACACACTTGAGTCTACCGTCAATAGTATGCCGGAGTTATCTCAAGACGAAAATGAACAAATTAATTTATTAAAAACTAAGCTACTGGATTTAGAATCACAATTACAAAGTGCACACCACGAAATTGAATTATTGTCAGCAGAGAATTCTAAACTACGAAATACTAATGAGGATTTATTGAAGAAGAACGAAGTACTTAGGAAAATTACCAATAGTCCAGTTAAACAAAAATTCAATACACCCACAAAAAAATCTAAGAAACAGAATTTGGAAACTAAGCAAACACAAACATTGATAACCAATACTACTGATACAGAAGTTATATCTACAAAACCCACGATCAAAGCCTCAACGTTAGATATTAATAAGAATGAAACACCTATAGACATGCAAAAAAGTAAAATATGTATACTAAGCACTAACAACAAAAATAGAATACTGTCGACCGCTGAAGAACTTCTATTAGATAAATACAATATATGTCACTACATTACACCTAATGGATCTACAGAGCAACTTCTTATCGGGATACAAACAAAGCTTCATGATTATACAATGACTGACTACTGCATAGTATTAATTGGAGAAGAGGACTTCAAGATAACTAGCAACTATGACAGCAATATACTATTAATTCGTAAAATATTAAAACAAGTTAGTCACACAAACATAATAATTTGCTTTCCTACGTATAAACTTACCAATCATAACAATCTTTACAACTGGAGAATTGAGACATTTAATAATCTGTTATACTTAGACTTAATAAAGCACGAGCATGCATACTATTTAGATTCCAACTATGATTTAACGTTTGATCGTTCTATGTTTAACTTACGAACAGGTGTAATAAATAACAATGGCATTCGAAACATTTTCGAAAATATACTTTTGTTGATAAATTATATTAATTCCAATTTCAACCAAAAATGTAGACTAAGTAGTAATACTGCTATTGTAGACGATTGTAACTCTCTGTTTTTTCGATATTAAATTCCTAAAAATTCTACACCAAAACATTGCAGGTCTTATAAATAAATCTGATATATTATCCATTCATTTAAACGAGCTTAAAGATAATAATGTAGACATTGATGTACTATGTATTACCGAACATTTCATGTTAGCGGGTTATGAAAGCATTTTTAATATGAAAAACTATAAACTAGCTTCAACTTTCAGTCGTAGCCAGATCAAAAGAGGTGGAGCTTGCATAATTGTCAACAATATACATAAGTTTAGAGAACTTCCTCAAATAAGCAAATTATCTATTAATAATGTTATCGAATGTTGTGCTATTGAACTGATAGAATCTAGAATTGTTGTTGTCTGTTTGTATAGAGTACCCAAACATAATAATTTGAATTTATTCTTTCAAAGATTTGAAGAAATTCTAGTACACATTTCAAAAATTAAATCCAATAATACCATTATAGCCGGTGACTTTAACATTGATGTATTAAAGTGCAATAATGTAACTTTGGATTTTGAATGTTTATTGATGAATTACAATTTTAAACTAGCGCTGAGACAACCTACTAGAACATTAAGTAACACGTGTATAGATAATTTTGCTCACAATTTTCAGAAACAATGCGTAACTGATATACTAGAACTTGGAATGTCGGACCATACAGCACAAGTAATTGAGATCCCGGTCAAAAAAATGCTAAGATTAAAACATTGGTATAAAATCACGCGCGATTATAATTATGAGAATATACAAAAATTCAAAACGTGTATACAAAGCTTGTCCTTTAGTGAAATATACGAAACTGATGACCCAACATTAGCTTATAGTAACTTCATAGATACATTTAAATTATTTTTTGACTTATGTTTTCCGTTAAAAAAAGTTTTAATAAGAGTAAATAATAAACCTAAATGGTTGTCTCGTGGAATTAAAATATGTTCTAAAAAGAAAAAAGAAATGCTGTGGAATTTTAGGCGTAAACCCTCACTTCTAAACAAATTAAATTATAAAAACTATTCGAAAAAAATTAAAACAATTATAAACCTAACAAAACGGGCTCAAAATAATTATAAAATAAATACATCAACTAATAAAAGTAAATCAACATGGCAAGTAATTAACAATAACAAAACTTCAGTACCAAAAGAAACGATAGACAAAATAAAAATTAATAACACTATTATTCAAAACCCTACAGATATAGCGAACGCATTTAATAAATATTTTATTGAAAAAGTACAACCTACCGTTGGTACAAGTAAAGAAT